TATCTCATTTATTCCTTAAATAAAGCTTAAGACCCGGAAATCAGGGTTTTGTCTTTAGACGGTGGCCACGTTGTGGCAACCTAAATGAACCTTCGGACATTCTTTACCATGCTACGTTGTGGGGGCACCTCTCCTACGTCGTGGCCACTAAATTCCTTAGATACCTTATCTAAAAAATTTAAGATATTACAACTCTACCCGACTTGAATTAAATTTCATCCTCGAAATCTGTCCTTACCACTTACTCTTATGACACCCTCCAAATTCCTTCAAAAGTCAAGGCACCTAAAAAGAGAACTTTAGAGACCACTAGAAACCCCACCAAGTTCAGTGAATAACCAATCACTAAAAGTGCGTGCTTGCAACAACTACATCACTCTCCCCAATTGAAGACCCAAATTATAACGAAGACCACTCAACTAGGAAAGCTCTTGCAACTATAACTACAAACCAGTCCAAACAAAAAACTTCATGAGACCGAAATATCATTAGTTTAGATTCCACATACTACACCCTAAGAATGATGTAACATGTTATTTTTAGAAGTTTCCTATTTAGGGATTTTGGACCATAATTCGATCATGTGAAGGCCTTGGACTTCAAGGGAATAGAGTTTAGACTCTATTGGATTTGGATGATGTGGGATTAGTGATTTAAATCCTAAATTATTCTTTGGAAGCTAAAGGGGTCAAATGGGAAAAGTAATATTCTGGGCTTCTTAGATAAATTAAGGATTTTAGTTCGATATGTTTTTAGTCGAAGTAACTATATAGAGTTGTGGGGCTCATCAATACCTTTCATTGGATATAAAGATCGTCGAAAATGGAGTTTAAACGAAGACATCATGGTCATAGAAAAGCTACGCGGGAGTAGGGGCTAAATTCTGAACTTATAATTAATGATCTATGCATGGTGTAGCTTATGTTACGTGGTGCATAATCGCTGCAGACCAAATTCATAAATCTAAGGTTTTGAGCCCTACTTAAGGACTCTAACTCCTTGATACCATCCCTATACTCCTCCTCCACCCGCCTTAAACGTTCCCTCAAAACCCTAGCCTTAATTTCCCCTCTCCTCCTTTTTTTTGCTTCTTGTGGGTGACATTTTAGGAGTGTACATGGAAGTTCACCATGGTTGGAGCTTGTGTGAGTGTTTCTAGAAGAGATCCAGCTTCTTGTCCATCTTGTGGACTTGTGTAAGTCATCAAGCTCCCAACTTTGTGATTCAAGCTTGCTAGATCTTGCATATTATGGTCTTTAAGACCCTTTTTTGGTTTTGGTTGGAATTCAAGGAATAACTCGAGATAAAGCTTGTGACTTTATCATTACTAAATGTCTTTGGAGTATTCTTTCTTATGGATTTGGACTTGGGAGTTAGAAAGTTGTGCTTTGTTGTTTGTTCTTTAAGCCATGCAAGTTGTGTTAGCATTTTTTGTCATTTTAATGTAGATCTGAATATGGAGACTTGGACTTAACTATGACAACTGAGAAAAAATTCGTCACATACCACCAATAGGAAAGAGTAGGAAAAGATAAATGTAATAGCTTAGATTTGTAATATTTGATTTTTATAAATTAATGTAATCAAATATGTTGTTACATTTAGAGTTAAAATTAACTGATAGACTCAAAAATTAACGTTCAAAAAGTCGTGTCGTCTTTTAAAACGATTGACATGGTTATAAAGTGCTCGTCGATGTGATGTTAAGGATATAAAATTCATAAAAATCCAACTCCGATTGAAGGAGTTGTGAATTTTACAAAAAGTAACAATCAAGCGCCTAGTTAAAGTTAATTACGTCAAAACTAGATTGAAAGATTGGTTGAGTTTTAGTTGGTGTTCACAAGAGGAGATATGTAGTACTCTTTGAGTTATAAACTTTACAAAAAAATGTTGAAAATGGGATCTGAATGAGAAAGATATGATTTTAGTAAAATCATTTATTTTTTACCCCGTTAGACATAAAACTAGAAATCAAAATTAACTAAACCAGCCTAAAGGGAAGTTATACTCTTTGAGATCGTCACAGAGATCTATAGAGGGCTTAAATCGGAGCTCGCATGAAAGATATAAGATTTTTACAAAATCATTTCGTGTGTGCCTACAGCCGTCACACAACTAACACCGGATTCAAGTAGATTGTGAGTAACATGGGCAAGAGGGGATGTGACATGTGGAGACTTCTGTATGGAGTCACAATGATCATTCACGACTAGCACAAATCCTCCACCGCGAGCACCCCAAAACATTGCCTATAAATAGTAGGGACTCCAACCCATTCTCCATCCCTGAAATCATCATTATCTCTCTCACACAATCTCAAAGTATCTTCCACCCTAGGCATTTCCCAGAGTCATAAGCCCGATTTAACCATATATTAGCGATTTCACGCATCAATGGTGAGTTCATGGCCCCATTTTATTGTTTTAAGGGGGAGGGGTGGAATACTATTCAATCGGCCATTATATTACGTGTTTTTTATGTAGATTAATGATTTTAAATTTTGTTTTTAATGTATATTAGTTTAATTTGTCTAACCATATAATATAATATAATATACGGGTTTAAACCTAATAATATATATTTATTAGTATTTTAATTATTGAACTTTGTACAACACGATCATACATCGCCACATTTTATAAACAAAATAAACATAAATGAGCTTGTATTATAAAAAAATGTATCTAAATCTTGCTCAAATTTAAATAAATAAAAAGGAAAGGTGGGGTTTATAAGAAAACTTAAAATAAAAATTTATCTTTTTAAATGTTACGAACATGTTATGTATATACAAAGAGTCCGGCTCATTTTATGCATTAGATCCTAAACCCAAACACCATTTACAAATGATCCATCATCAAACAATCTCAATCTCAAAAACATAAAGTCTATGAAATTCATTCCTAAGTCGACTTTCTCCTGTCCACACATCCTTCCATAGTCTAGTAGAAGATCCATTGTCCACTTTTTCATAAATAAAGAATGCAACATGATATTTTTTTTTTCGTGAAGTTATTTAATCAGTCTGATAATTTTAGAACGAACACCATGTGTTTTGTACCCGTTTTCAATTCCGCAAAAACCTCCACCGTCACCATGAATAGTTGACACAATATTAACCCACAATGAAGATCAAATACTAAGAAACTTTCACCGCCATTATTTGCAAAAATATCTGATTAAGTGCATGTTTGGAATTCTTGTCAAACTTTTTATTGAATTTTTGGAAAAGCCATGAATTCCTGGTTTTTGGAAATATTATTTATTTTTTTTTTGCCTAAAAAGATAGTGTTTGCCAAACATTTTTTAAATTTATTGTCTTTTTGTAAACCAATAAGTTAATAAGTCATTTTAAAAAATACTCCCAAACACCCACTAAAAACAAACAAGCTTCCAAGACAAATATAACATTTATCTTTAGTAGCTAATACTTTTTCCCATCTTTTCCATAACTTTTTACATCTTCATCTCCCTAAAAGAATTTACACCAAGTTTTCCATCATACTAAGAAGTTCAAGATGGACTTTGAAAATAATCATATAAAAAAACCCTAGGCTTCCCGGAAAATAATCATATAAAAAAACCCTAGACTTTGAAAATAATCATATAAAAAAACCCTAGGCTTCCCGGAACCTACTTCAAGAGGGTGGTATTACCAAAGGGTTTTAACCTTCTATTGACTTCAAGAGAGTAGTATGATCAAAGGGTTTTAATCTTCTATTTATAAATTTTACTTTTGAATATGTCAGTTATATCATTCTAACTTTCCACGCGAGGTATTTTAGATCTGACTGGCAGCCCAAAATAAATAAAAGGAAGCTTCATTGGGAAACAACTTGTAATGATAGCCAAACGTTCGACTTCAACCTATTTAACCCCCAACCGTATACAAATTCCAGTCGTTCACTGTCGATCAATCTGTCGACCAAATTTAAAAGTACAAAACCGTATTATTCACTTGAACCAGATTCATAATTCGTTCACTGTTGACCAAGAGACCTCGAATAAACAACTAACAACATTTTTTATTAATCATCTCGGTATAAACTTTGAATTTTCCACCACTTCTATATCACATTGTATTCTTTTTTTTTTTTTTTTTTTTGGGGGGGGGGGGGTATGCCAAATCTCACGCTTCCAAGTGTTCCATATACGCTAAAGGTTTGGTAAAACAATATAATCATTAATCTCCTCTTCTATTAGCAATAGACGTGTGAATTTTACTAGTGATTTCACTAATCGATGTCACCTTTCAAATCTTGTTTTTTACTTCTCAAATCTGAATTCCAAACTTTAATGTTGGATTTAAGGATGGAAATGGGACGGGGATGGGCAGGGGTTGACCATCCATGTCCCGATCCCCATCACCAATGGATGTGAAGAATGTGAAGAATTGAATGCCTACTATTTAGATTTTGGGTTTTTCCTTAGCTAATCCCCAATCTATCAACGTAATAAACTTAATTTGCACAAAAAAAAATACATATATTTTAAGCTTAATAAGCAATCAAACCCAAAAGCCATAATCAGATTGTTTTTATATCAATCATAATGTTTAACAAACAACAAAATGAAAAGTGACGATTTTATATACAGACCGTTGAACGAAGTAACAATTAATGAACTCTTGGAATTGGGAACATAATTTGATATACCTAATACTTGATTTTATAGGGAATACTCATCCCTGATTGGGGTGAGTCGAACAGATTCCCCACCGAATCAGATGAAATTTTCATGTCTAGTTGGATTTTAAAGCTTTAATTTTATCTTTGAAGACATTTATTTTGTTTTCCAACTTCTCTATTTTCAATTGGAGAATCAATAACAATCTCTTCAAAACTCTTTCATCCTATTCCAAGAATGTTACATCTTAATTAAAAGGAATAAGCTCGTAATCCACCATCTTAATTTTTATGTTCAGCCACTTTCTATTTTGGAGATGATTATAGCCCTTCATGTCAAAATGATAACATGGTGACAGATGACACCTCTACAATTGATTTAATTAATCCTCCAACACTTCCTCCTACTAGATCATTACAATTTACAAACTCATACTCGTTTCTCTTATCTTAAAAACAAAACGATCATTGTACCATGGTGTGAATTCAAACAAGAAAATCATAATCATATGTGAATCATTACAATAAATAAATGTGGTGTTAGTAAAAGTTTAAGAGAGTATATATCAAATCCTCTTCTTTTCGACTTCAACTAGCAACTCTCTTGACAAAATCCATTGCTTTCGAATGGAATAAACAGCAATGAAAACAAACTGTGAGAAGCAAAGAAGCATGATGATGGCTTCAAAGAGAAAAGGGTATTTCTTGGGTGGGTTTACTTTCAAATAAATTACATGAAGAACAAGCGACAACAGAAGAAAACAAACAATCACAAATGATACAAAAAAATCAGGTTTTTGTGTGTTGGGTTTGGGTTTGGGTTTGGGTTTTCCATAGTGAATGAAGATGAAGATGGCATAAAGGGCAATATATGGGAGAAGTAATTTATCACGAAGTAAAAGAGGAAAGATGGAGAATAAGGCGAATTGTGTAAGCCATTGAAAAAGGAAAGGTTCTTCTACTGCTAAGAGACTTGCTGGCAAGAGTGGCAAAAGAATAGACTTCTCGTGAACTGAAATAAAAAAAAAAATATTATCCTCCGTATTTGATAAATGTAAATATGCAATTTGTATTTGGCTTAAAAAAACAAGATATGGAATGATGAGATGGATACCTTGAAATGAGAAGAAATAGAAGGAGAAAGCAGAATTAAGAAGTCCATAGAGGAAGCCTCGTTTACTTGGTGTCTTTATTTGAAGAAACATGGAAGGAAGACATGAGGAAAGAGTGATTGTAAGACTTAATAGCTTCAGTGATTGTGTTGTGAATAATTTTTTCCACTTAATGAGGACTGAAGTTGTGCACCAAAAATTCGCCACGTAGTCCTCGTATATTCCCCTCTCAAAAGGCGCCAAACGTGACACAACCTATATATAAATATAAAATATATATATTTCAATGTCACAATTTTAAAAATTCATCAATCTATGCAAAATATTAGGTTAAATGTTCAGACTTTTAGAGTTGATATAAATGAGAAATTCCCATATAATCTATATAAGGTATTGTGTTTTTGTATTAACAGATTTCATTTTGGTCAATATATAGTGTTGTTTCTTTTTGACTTAATAGAGAAAAACTCCCTTCAATTAGTTTTTTTTTTCTATGTTTAGAAGTGTGTTGCCATTTTCTTTGATATTTTTCAAAGGGTTAATTTACATGAAAGACCCTATGTATTGGGTTTTCTTCCAGATTAAACCTCGAGTTTATTTTATTTTTTTATTTTTTTCTAAAATAGCCCTTACATTTTTCCAATTTCATCTTTTTAGCAGATTTTCCGGTTTTGCACAAAGATGAAAGGGCTTTTTTAGAAGAAAAAATAATATATATATATATATATATATATATATATATATATATATATAGTTGAGATTTAATCCGAAAAAACAGAAAAACGTAAGGGCCAGATCGGAAAAAATGGAAAAATGCAAGGGCCAAATAAAAAAAAATGGAAAATTTAGGAAATAAAAAAGTTGATTTTTAAGTCGGAAAAAAAAAACAACATATAGGGTCTTTTATGTAATTAATCATTTTTAAACATTACTAGTTATTTGGACAACATTTGATGAGAAAAAATGTAGCAATGTAGTTGCATTTATTTATGTATTAAAGCATCCTACTTTCATTTCTTTTTAACACATCATCGTACTTTAAACTTTTTTCTTATTAAAGTGAATTATAGCACACTTAAGTACAATTTTTGTAATAAAATGCTTACATCAAATAAATCAATGGAAGCACATTAACATTAACATTACTATTTCTTGCATTTAACTCAACAAAGAAAAAAGAAAAAAGAAAATAGATGTACCTCAAAAATTGCAACTTTGGAGTGAATATATGGCCACCAAATAAGAGCAAATGTTCCTATAACAATCATCCCCAATTTCACAACCTCCAAAACTGGATTTTTACACCTTAAACTTTTTCCCAATAAATAGCTGAAAAATGCAGGAGCAAAATAAGCACTCATCTGCACAAACATCCAAAACATAAGTCAGTATATGTAATAAACCTAAATAGGAAAAGGTTGGGGCAAAAATCTAATAAAAGAAACTAGATGGGCTGTTTTGTAAATTGGGAAAAGTTGGGTGTTAGAAGAAGAAGAAGAAGAAGAAGAAGAAGAACCTGTTTGTGGTTGAGAGCAAGAGTGAAGAAGAATGAAGCAACAAGATCTTTGTCACAAAGTAAAGCTGCAACAGCTCCAATTGTAAGTCCTAAGCTTATGCAGTTATACTGAAATCAGAAAAAAATATATATATATATATTTTACAAGTTTTAGAATGTAAATAGAAAGTTTTAGGGTTAAATGCAAGAATTATTACAACATCCTACTTCCATTCTTTTCCAATTACAGCATTGTTTTGAAAATTGAAATAATCTATCTACCCAATTATAGCAATGTCATCAAAATACAAAAAGATTTTTCACATCTATAATAAGAAAAATCAAAACCCAAAGTACAACGCCAAAATCAGGTAGATTTTTCAAAGTGCAATAATGCATCCTTAATAAGGAAAAAAAATTTGGAAGTTCAATGTTGTAATAGAAAGAAATATATGTTGATATTTATAGCATTTAGACCAATATGTAATACATGCCTGAAAATGACCATGATCAATAAGGATGAGGCATGGGTTAAGCAGAATCATTGCAACATGCCATGGTAAGTTACTTTTATACCCTTTTGATTGGCTTGCATAGACTATAATAAACCATAGAACTGCAGGAAAGAATATGAGGACATCAGAGGTTAAAACTGTCCACCTCATTAGCAGTTTTCTGCAGAAAGAACATACAAAAGAAAAGAAGTTGGAAATTTGTTGGTAATGTTTTTTTTTTTCAGTTAGGGTGTGTTTGGTTCGTAGATACCAATGGAATCCAACGGAATTGGAATCAGAGATTCCATTCCATTCCATAGCTTGTTTTGTTGCCACATGAATGGAATTCAATTCCATCTAAATCCTTTAAATCCCCTTGTTTGATGGATTTCATCATTCCAAAAGAAGGGTTGAAGAAATTTAAAAGACCAAAAAGCCCTTGTTACATACATACGATGGAATATGATTCCAATTCCTGTGACAGATTCCATTCCTTCAATCCTTCCAAAAACATTCCACAAACCAAACAACCCCTAATATGTATACTTGAAATATTGGTAAACTCAAACAGTGTAAAAGAACAACACAAAAGATGAAAAACAACTAACCCAATATAAGATTCATGGCCTCGTGAAGTGTAAAGTGAAACAGAATCTGGATGGAAGAATCTTAGAAAAATCCCATGAACATAACTTTGATAAGCAGTAAGTGGAGGATAATCAAGTCCCCAATAAGCAAGATCATTTGAAGTGCTGTTGTGATACCATTGATTAACAGGTAAATTGGTTGTGATCTCCATCCAATGTCTTTGAGCTTCAAAATCTCCATATTTTGGTGAATCACCAGCTCCAGAATATGGATGCATAGATACAGAAACTCGAACAAGAATTGAAAATAGACTAATGCAAATGAATGGACCAGATATACCCTTGTCCATTAACCACCTCCAATCACTATTGTTGTCAGCCTCTTCTTTTATTCCCTTTTTTACCCTTGACTTTTCCATTTCTTTGAGTATTACACAATAGCAAACTTCTTAGAATAGCCTGTTTGTTTCAAGAACAAATCCCATTAGATATAGTGCTTTACACATGAATGACCTGAAAAAAAAATATATGAAAGAAGACTTGTTGTAGTATTAAGTTCACACCTTGGCAATTGTAGCACCTTTTAAAGCTGTAACTTTGTTTAAAAATGGTAAATAAACGTTGCATAAACTAAAAAAGTTGTGTTCAATTTGACTCATTTTTGAACTAAGTCAACAAGGTTTATATCAATATTCAAAGGTTTTTGATGCTATTAGAATTACTTGTCTTGTTGGATTTACATTTTTGAGGTGATATATCTAAAGAGTAAGGGTTACTTATTTAGAATTACTTGTCTTGTTGAAAGTTATGGTTTTATTTAAGGCACATCTACGTCTCTTTTGGCATCTCTATCTCTTTCGTATCTATTTTGTGTTAAACTCTGTTTATATAAATATAGCATCCGAACAGCAGAATAATTCTGAGAAATCACGGATGGGAGAATAAGAGTGAATGAAACAAAGGGAAAAGGTTCGTCAACGGATTTAAAACAATAGTAATCACAAAGTCATACACATGTAACCTTGTCAACTGATTTCAGATTTAAAAAAAAAAAAAAAATCGAATTTCATTCACATGGTCTGATTTCATAATCACGAATTCGGATTTCATACACAATCATTTGATTTCATACATAGCACCTACAAATCCGTCTCAAGCGTCAACTGATTTCAGAGAAAAAAAGAAGAAAGCGTACCTGCGCAGCTGTGGAGGTCGCCGCCGGCAGTTGCAGATGAGGTGTCACCGGTCGAAGGAAGCGCAGGTGCAGTAAATTGTAGAAGAAAAGAAACTACTATTTTTCCTCCCGACTTCTTTTCGATTTGAAAGGATTCGGAGAGAATAATAAAATGTTTAATTTTTCTTTTTTATTTCTTTTTAATTTTGAGAACACAAAATACAAATTTTTTTTTTTTGTCTCATTGCTTTCTTTTTTCTTTGCTTTTCTCATCTACAACTTGAAAACTAGATGTAAGGGTAATAGGGTATATTGTTAAATTCGTAAAGATAGATAGTGAAATAAGCAACTTTTTAGTTGTAACCAACTTATGAAAAATGTTACCTATAAGCTATTTTTTAAAAATTTATCATTGAAACACTACTTTTGTTGGTTTATACCACTAAGTCAAAAACCTCCTTAAATAAGTTTAGCTAAACATTCAATTAGTATATAGAGAAAATTACGAAAATTATCTATATGGTATGCTATAATAGACAACTATAATCTAACTTCAATAAAATGAACAAACCCGGTCCTTATGCTATTTCAAAATCACATAAACGGTACCATTCCCTTAAACCTCTGTGCTTACATTAAGATAATTGGTTTTTAATGCTTCATTTTTACATGAATGTGCAACAACTATTAATATCTTCAAGAAATCTTGAGTTTTTAGTCTAAAGGTTGTTTGTCACTTTAATCTTCACCCTTTGATTCATGTTTTATCTAATTCCTTTTCAGTTGTACTTCAAATATAGACCATTAACTGCTATTTCATTTATGTTTCATCTTACATTAATTAACCTTTTAGATGTTATCATTGATAATGCTTAAAGCAAACAAGTTCATGTGTCTATTGCTTAATGTGTTGTACTTATGGATCGAAGGCCCCGAGGCTGACCCATTGGATTGATATCCTGGTTTACCATATGTTGTTATGTTGTAGTGATATGTTAGATCTGTATCCTGGTATATAGGATGTTGTTGTGTTGTAGTGATCTGTTAGATTTTTATCTTTGTATACAGGATATTGATATGTTGTAATGGTCTGTTAGATTTGTATGACTACATGTATATGCTAGCTATTGACTATTATGGTGTATGCTGATATGTTATGGTTTGTTGGGTTGAGGCGATCTTGTTTTGTGTTGAAGGCCAAGATAACTAGGGCGGTTTGGATAGGCTGTAGGCCTTGCGAGGCGGTGCAGTCAGGCCAAAGGCCTGGAGAGCGATTCAGATAGGTTGTAGACCCTGCGAGGCAGTCCATTCATGTTGAAGTCTCGAAGAGCGGTCCAGATAGGTTATAGGCCCTACGATACCGTCCAGTCAGGTTGTAAGCTCATGTTGCATGTTGTTGTTTGTTATGTTTATGTGGTTGTACTTTGGGGGAACTCACTAAGCGTTGGCTAACAATTTTAGTTTTGTTTCAAGTACTTCGGAGGATTGTGGCAAGACGAAGGCGTTATCATACACATCTTGGGTTTTTTTATGTTGTTAATCTTGGGAGACTCTGTTTTTTAATAATGTTTTGAAAACAATGGTTATGTAAACACTTTTTTTTGTAAATGGGTTGTTTTGAAAAGTTAAGATTTGTTGTGATTTTTGAGATGTTACATGGTGTTTCCGAGAGTATTGACATTTTGTTGATGTGTTGCTAAGTAGGGATGTGTCACTATTGATCATGATGTGCCATTTGTGCATCATGATGCGCCATTAGGTGGCTTGATGTGTCTCACATGTTCCTGGTGTGCCATATATGTTCTTGATGAGCCATGATATCCCTTTATGATCCATTTATGTGATGATGTTCTCTATGATGCTCAAGATTATCCAAGGATGCTCAGAAGTTACAGATGCTCACGAATCATTTTATGATGTGCCACCATGATGGTTGATGAGCCATGGTGGTCTTGATGTGCCACTCTTGCATCATGATGAGCCACTATGGATCATGATGATCTAACAAGTTTATGGTTGATGCTCATGAAATACATATCAAGGATGAATGTTCTAAAAGTTGCTCCATGGTGGAATGTGATTGGTTAACACCTTTCATGGGCCTATGGATTAATGGGCTTGACCCATTAGGGTTTTAGGTCTGATTCCTTCACAATAAATAGGGGATGTTTGCTAGTTATTTGAAAGTGTCTTTTGTATCCTTAATGAATAGGTCAAATCTATGATGGTTGTACTTTTAACCTTTGTTTGAGAACTCATAAATAAGTAATACTCCCATCCTGCCTGTGAACATAGGTGACCTCACTAAGATCTTTCCTAGACATCACTCTCGTAATGTAACGCCCGCGTTTTCAGGCTAGGCATTTTCATTGATGTAATAGTCTAGGTTAACCCTCGTAACTCTTTTTGAAGTATTAATGATGAAATATTTTAGTATTATGTGAATTATGTGAATTATGTGTTTATTTTATTAATTATTATAATTTAATGAATTAAGAATAAAATAAGCGTCAAAATTAAAGTATGAGATAAGCCCGATATCTTTGCATAAAGAGGTAGTGGTTGAAACAAGGATTCCGAAGATATAAAGAATGTCGAAATCCGAGTTATAACGAAGAAGTTATGACCTGTCAAAGTTTCGCGACAGAACCGGCAACGTTGAATGACGTAAAAAGTGAAATTTACGTTAGAGCGATATTTAGCCTTAGTGATCTAAATGAAAGTCGTAGAGTTCGTTAAACCGAGAGCGTACATAAAAAGAACGCCAAAATCTGACTTTGTATGAGGAAGTTATGATTTTCTGAAGTTTCGACTTAAGCGGTATGCAGCCTGAATACTCGATTTGAGATCGAGCGGTTTTTAGCCGAAGCAATCTAAAAGATAATCGAAGATCTCGTCGTTAGTAACGAAACGATGAAAAGTTAGGCGAGAATGGACGTCGGACAAAGAAATTATGAATTTATAACGGAGTTTTCCTGTCCGGGCCTACTAAAAATAAATAATAAAAAAGAAAGTCAAAATTAGCCGACGGAGTCTAAACGAAAGTTGTAGATCGTAGTCTCACCTACGCGTGGATATAAAGAACGTCGAAAACGGAGCTCGTATGTGAAAGTTACGCAATTTAGAAGTTTGACAAGTCAAATTACGCCGAGCGTAATTTGAGTACGCCCAGCGTACTCAGAAGGGTGCAAGTTGCCTGACCAATACTCGAGTACCACCAATTGATGCATGCAGTGACGTCAAAGTACGCCCAGCGTAACCAAGTTATGCCCAACGTAAATTGAGATTACGCCCAGCGTAATCCCAGACCCCCAGCCTATAAATAGAAACCGAGATCAGCCATTTTCTCTTGTTCAAGCTCTTTCTTCTCTCTAGGTATTGCCTTGATTTGCATGCCAATCATATCCCGAAGTCCCGGTATCATTCCTAAGCCCCGAAGCAAGATCCGAAGTCCCGAGGATCCCAAAGAGCGTTATTCCCGAGCCGAAGCCCTACTTACGAGGAGCCCGGTTTTTGTGAAAATCTTCAAGATCTACGGAGAAACACTACTTCTGCAAGCCGTAGTGCTGTCCGATCATCTTTTGATTAGGTGAGTGTGTGGTTACTTTCTTCCAACACAATATTATGAAGTATTTTATATAAAATACGTGTTATGTGTATATATTTTGTTGTTATATGTGTGAATGTATATTCACTCTCTTCTATCTCATAGATCTGATTTATTCTCTGTGAAATACGTGTTATGTGTGTGTGTCTCATCTGTTATGCGGAATATGTATTGATTAAAGCATGTTATGCAGGTTTTTAAACTATGTATAAAAATGTATATTTTTATCTACTAATATGTTGGGTAGAACATGGGTAGATAGTCTGTGTGTAATAAACAGATGAAAACAGATGAGAGGCCTCGTTGTTGTTTCGATTTAGTCATCTAGCGGAGTTTAGATGACGACCACAGACTTTTCTAGACAGTCTCGTGGAACACTAGCAGGCTCACCACCTGTAGGTGTGATGGACTTGGGTGTTCATTCGTTGTACTTCCACCCCCCCCCATGGCTGCCTTATTTGACATATATTGCTGGGAAACCCCCGAAAGCATGTGTTGTCGCCCCGATGAAATATTCTTAGACTAGGTCCCTTGTGTTAGTTATTTTAGGGACATAAAGTGAGAATAACGGGAATGGGTAATTGGGTTATTGTTGGTTGATGAATATTAATTTAATTATTTATTGTGGGTTAAAAACCCTATATGCTCACTAGGCTCCCAAGCTTGACCCACTCAGTTTCTTTGTATTACAGGTAGTGGCGCGAGGGCATAAGATGGATAATCATCAAGTTGTTTTGTTTACAAGTCTGTATATGTATATATTTGTTGAATGACTTGTAATGTTATCGTTTATGCTTTATGGTCTGTATCGGAACATGACATCCCGAGTTTTGATTATATAATGAAAATTACATTTCTTTATGAAATGCTTTGGTAAATATTATTTTATCATGTTTTTTTTTTGGGAACAAATTCCGCATCTCTTTTAAAATCAAAAGGATTTACTCTGAAAATGTTTAAAAAGCATAAATGAAACCGGTCTTTTCTGGCCGAGATTTTGGGGATGTCACACGTAAGTAGATCAATCAGTATAACAACTAGAATTACTGATAAATCTTATTTATAGGTTCATAATAACACTATGAACTTAAATATATGTTACACTTAAAGAATAGTAAGTGCAACTCAACTTACAGGTTTTCTATCGGAAACTCATAAACTTTACGATCAGAATTTCGACGCCAAATTATTTTTGTTGGGCATTCTGACGTCGTAGTGCCTCGCTAAAATGATCAAGACTAGGAATGTTGGGTCCCGAGGGTTTGGGAAGAGGTTCTAGAGAGATTTTGATTGAAAAAGTGCAACAAATGAAGAAGTTTCCGGCCCCTATTTATATCCATTTTGGACAGGCGTGCCGCACTGTGGAAAAGAGCGCATCGTGTTGTGGTTCTTTCCCAACGGTGACACCTATCGCTTTTTCATTGGTTCCATATGCCGCTTTCTCGTTAATCCTAAGATATTAAGATAGTTAATTATCTCAGTAGAACTTCTCTCTCTCTCTCTCTCTTTATATATATATATATATATATATATATATATATATATATATATATATATATATAGGTTTAAACATGTAGAAACCAAGTTGTTTGATAATGTAAAAATATATATTTTTTAAAAATAGAAACATATTATTTGTCCAGTGAAATAGATTTCATCACTTTCGA